AAGCAGTTCCTGCCGTTGCTACGTTAGTTCAAACTGTAACAACGGACTACTTTTCTTAGCGGATGCATGTCAATTTAAATCAATACATAAAACTATTTTTTAAATCAATAAAATCATTTTCTAAATCCATAAAAGCATTTCAATTAATATTGGGAGTCATGTCGTTACTTTGTTGAGAATGTGGCCATGTGTAATAAGCGGGATAATGTGCACATTGCACATTGCATAATGTGCCTTCAAGCCGATCTAGATCCCTCCGCAAAAAAAAAAAAAACCCCGGCTCGTTCGCGGGCGAGAGCCGGCTCCCGTCGTTCACTTAAAAGAGCCGGCTCTTTGAGCCGGCTCGTTCACGACCGACACATCACTACTTCACGCTGGGCTAATGCTAATAATGCTAATGCGAGGATAATAAAATGGCGGCTTCACAAACTTTTTGGGAGTTTTACGGGGCGTGGTTTGCAATCCGCCCAGCCAATCAGAAATATAGCTCTTTTCTCACAAGAGAGCCGTACGAAAGTCCCTGCTCTCTGGCAGCTCTCTGCTCTCTAGCAGGGACTTTCGTGGGGGTAAAAAGGTTCTCATGAACTAATTTTAGTACCGGCTCTTTTTGGTGTGAACGCGATAAAAGAGGCTCCACGCTAGCTTCCACGCTAGCTGCTATATGTTTTGCATTGAGGTGATACTTGAGGCTTGATGTGCTGCGGTGATATGCGAATTCCTTTTTGCATAATTTGCACACAACCGTGCTCTTATCGACGCTTCCATCCGTCCGTTTTTTAAAACAACATTTCCCACTGTTGTTCACTGTGGTTTGTTGTTGTCTGAAGTCATGAACGTTAGTTGGTGCTCCAGTATAATCGGTACGCCTGAAACTCATCCAGTGAGAAACGTTCCGCGGTGCATAAATAAGTGCGATTAAAATGCGTTAATTTTTTTAACGCGTTAATTGTTGTGTAATTAATTAATCTTAATTAACGCGTTAAAGTCCCGGCCCTAGTCTTTACACATCATAACAATTGAACTGTTTTAAAGTTTCTCTTTCTTTCCCTCTTATATTGCAGTCCCTCACTCACTTTTTTTAAATTCAGTGCGAGAATTGAGCTCGAGCTTGTCCTGCCAGGAGTTTGTAAATCTGGGCTGAAATTGTGTCAGGGCCATTCTCACACACATGCAGGTGCTCATCGGTTACAGTGATGCAAACACAGGTATGGTGAAAAAAGAGAGAACTATTCGAAGCAGAAAAAAACTGTGTAATATACCATCTGCCTGTGCTATAATGCTTCAATTAACTGGCTATTTTTTTTTATAATATACTCAGATCAATAGGAGACAGAGATGTTAAGTTATAAATCAAGGGTTTTTATTATTATTTACAGCAGGGGTGGGGAACCTTTTTTCCTTTCAATTTTTACAACATCCTCCGAGGGCCGTACAAATGATTGAACTCAACCTCTGCTTAAAAAAACTAAAATCACAGCCCATTCATTTCGCCTTTCTTTCATGCTGTGCAAAGAAAAAGCAACCTCTTAATCCAGATATCTCACCATGACTCGCGCATGCATGCATGCATGTGCACGGTGGTGGCATGACCACCAAAACAGAAAGATATGGACACAAGATGTGTGCAAATATATTTAGTATCCTATCCATGACCATGTGAACATGATTTAAGTGTGGGGGGGGGGGGACCTAACCTCCTCTAGGGGGGTCCGGGGGCATGCTCCCTCAGGAATATTAAATATTGAAGTTAAAAGCATCAATCTGGTGCACTTTGAGAGCAACATGAAGAGATATATGGATGCATCTTTCAACACACATATGAAACATAACTGTAAGCAGATTTTTTTGTTTTGGGATATTTTACAAATCACTCCCCTTTTAAACTCTATTCTTGTTATTTTTAACAACTTTTTTGTTACTGTCATAGTATTTTTTACCTGTTTTTCATCTAGTCTCATTAATAACTATAATGATCATATCAAGGTGTGCCTTAACCTCACTGAGCTGAAGTTATTTGAGCCTCTCAGGAGATAGCTCTCTTCCACCTGGTTGTAGAAAAGCTTTTTTAATTCGTTAGCATAGCTAACTAACCAGATGCTAATAACAACAGATCGCCACTGTGCTTACAACTAAAGACACAGCCACGCAAACACTGTGGCATGTGTAGGCATATTGATTGATTGATTGATTGATTGATTGATAAGTTTATTAACAGCTTGTATATTGGGTACAGTACAGTACAGCTCAAAACATACAATTGTTAAAGGGATGCAGACCAGAGAAAGACTTTCGTCTTGTTTACATCAGGGTCCCCCATTTCCAATTCATCATGTCATTTAAGACATATAAGACATATTTGACATACAGATGGCTTATTTACAATTTACATACAGGTGGTTTTTTTACATACAGATTGCTTGTTTACAATTTTCATTTTAGATTTCGTTCTAATACATCCTAACCAGACATTTAAGACATACCAAGTCTACAGATATACAGTTAGTAACAGAGTCTAAAATGCGAGTATATACATAGATGGGGGGGGGGGGGGGGGGAAGCTGTCCATTGAACGACAGGTTGAGATTTGTACCATTACCGGGGCCAGTTTTGCAATGCTCTCCCCCGAAGGTGCTCTTTAAGAGAGGTTTTGAAGGTAAGTATAGTTTTACTTTCCTTTACAGTTGTGGGAAGAGCGTTCCACCTTGATGTGGCATAATTGCGAAACGTGTATTCCCCCTTTTTTGTGCCAAATCTGGGTTTCACATGATTCGCATACGGCTCCTTATGGGTACTGCAATATTTGAAGGGCTAGAGCGGCACTCCTTTCAGATGAGACATACCACGTGAAGACACGTTACGCTTGTGTTGTGTTCAAGGAACCTGTCCTTGGCCAGGAAAAACAGGTACTCGCTTGTTTAATTATTTTTGCGGTCTAGATTTCTTCTTCTTTTTTGAAGTGAGAAGTTGTCCGTCAGTCGGACTGACGGACGGACTCCCCACCCCCCACCCCCACCTCCAAAACGAAAACTCTTCGGTTCTCCACGAATTACACAAGTCACCCAAATCAGCATTAAAAAAGCGGGAGGCGCCGAAAAATCCCTTACTATTGTATTGATTATAGCTCCGGGTCCGTATAGGTCGGCGTCTGGGTCTGGATCCGGACCGCGGTCCGCCTGTTGCCGACCCCTGGATGTGAGGCTAATGCAGGATTTGCTAGCTTGATGCTAGCAAATCGGCATTTAGCGGCAGTGACTTAACAAATTGCCACTTAAAATGTATCGTCAGCAATGTATGACAAGCAGACTGCTTGTTTAATGTTAGACTCACACCAATAGCTCAATATGATCATAACACGATTGCTTTCATATCAGAGATCAGATGAGGTGGAGCTGCCTCCAGCAATAGAGGGTGAGGCAGAGAGAAGCAGCAGCACAGGGTTGCAGGCTTGCAGCAGGTATGTTATGCTGTAGTCAGGTGATTTAAATGTATCAATGAAAGGAAGAAGTGTAGGCTACATGATAAGAAGGGCATACAGTTAGAACAAAAATAATACTTATTAAAAATTATTACTTTTTAATGTACAAATACTTTGTTACTGTACGATATCAATAACAATAATCCACAGCTCCTCTCTCTGCTCCAGAGGATAAACAAAACAAAACAAATATATATATATTTCAAAAACTCAACCACAAATGTCCTGCTTCTTTTCACAATATCAGTTAATTATAGATCATTTTTATTTCACAGTAGGCCTATAGTTTTTCTCAAGTTTGTTTTATTCAACAACGCCATTTCCCCCTCAATTACTGTTAGATTTTCAATTACAAAATATTTGGAGATACCATCTGCATTTATTGCATGCACATATTATATCAGCTCTCATGATTGTCAGTTTTCTGGCTTTTATTTCTGAGTGAGAGTAGCAGTTTGTTATTGTCATTGACCAGACTCTTATCCAACCAGTAGATGCCAGTATTGAAGCAAAAAGTCTTAGAGAATATATTTGAGAGGATATCTTATAGTGTGATTCCTAAATTCACACCAACTTGGTACACAAATAAAATGCTTTTCTCTGCAGTTAATACGGTATTAAGGGGTTAACAGTGTGCTCAACTTACTGCTGTGTGTACGTTTGTGTGTGTGTATGTTTTGGAGAACAAAGGTGAAAAACAAGTTTGGCAAAAAAACACCTCCATGCCATTTGTCATTGGAAGCCTCTGTGTGTGTGTGCTTTCACTTGTGTGTAAGAAGATACAATGGAAACTCAATTATGCACTGTTCCATCTCAGTTGTCACTGGTATGTAGCTGTGTAGAATAAAACTGAAGTGCCTCTACGTTTCTAAAAACATGGGACATCTTTATTATACTGTATGATGTGCACAAATGTAAACTGACTCACACTTTCATGTGACTTTTCATGTGCCTTTGTTAAAATGAATTGTCGCAGGCAGCAGACTGTCTGTCTTTATAAATAAATAACCATGAGGTAGAGTAGTTATTCTTGTCAGTTTGCTTTTCACAACGGTGATCTCAGCCACAGAAGGGGAAGGAAACGAGTCAAGCTTGAAAAACTGGTCGCTTTGCTCCTGCTCATCATTACACAAGGGAAAGTCGGAGCTTTTATGAGTCTCACAAGATTGCTCTGTTTATTGACCTATGCCCATGGAATTATCCTTATCGTTATGCTTATCGGACCTTGACTTCTCGGATTTTGTTCCTTGGCTCTCGAAAAACAGCACAGGTCTGTGTGTTTTGTGTAACCTAACTTGTTGAATACCAGCACCCTGCCCTCTGAAGGGAGTGCTCAGTGTTCAAGGTTCAGGAAGATAACGATAGGTGAGTGGCTGACGCATAGCTGGTGTTGTGTTACTAAAGGCTATCAGATTACAGTAGACCGCAGCCTAGGTGAAACTGTAGCTGTATTCAGACCGCTGTTGCTCGGACAAACCAGGAACTGGGACTAACAAAGGAGTTTTAAAGAAGCTAAAGAAGCTAACGGAGGCTTCCTGTTGTTTTAAGAAGAGCGTTACCATGGGGTAAGAAGACACAACACTGCTTGCTGCTTTTGCTGTGTTTGTCAGGACTTTTTCACTACTCTGCTGCCTTCTCGTTTTGGACAGCCAAAGTGGAAATAAGCTATGTTAACAGCAACAATGTGACTGTGGATAAAATCTGCGAGTGTGGGGTGTTTGGTCGTAACTCTCCCCTGGAGCAAGCCTCAGGCATTGTTACGCTTCCCAAGGGAGACCCCAAAGGCTGTGGCTCAGATCCTGTCTACAATCCAAACAACAGCTCCCTGCCCTGGATAGCCCTGGTAAAAAGAGGCAACTGCACCTTCAGTGAAAAGATCAATGCTGCCTATCGTCAAGGAGCCTCTGGTGTGGTGGTGTATAATGTGGATGGCACTGGCAACAACACCATGCACATGTCACACCCAGAAGGAGATGGCATAGTGGCTATTATGATTGGCAATTCTCAGGGAATGGAAGTTGTTAATTTGGTGAAGAATGGGACAGTTGTGCAGATGATAATTGATATAGGCAGAGATCATGGACCCTGGATGGACACATACTGGCTTTACTTCCTGTCCATCTCCTTCTTCATTGTGACAGCAGCCTCCATCGCCTACTTTGTATTCATCTCTGCAAATCGTCTCTACAATTTGAATATGCACCGGCGCTCTGAAAGGAAGCTAAAGTCTGAAGCTAAAAGGGCAATCGGGCGTCTACAAGTCCGCAAACTCAAGTCAGGGGATGAGGAAACTAACTCTGAGTCCAACATGTGTGCCGTGTGTCTTGAATCCTACAAGGCAGGGGAAGTGGTGACAGTGCTTACGTGCGACCACATCTTCCACAAACCCTGCATCGAGCCCTGGCTGCTGGAGAGGAGGACCTGTCCCATGTGTAAGTGCGACATCCTGAAGGCCCTGGGAGTTGAGGAGGAAACAAAAGAGAGCCTTACTCCCAATGCCCCACCAGAGGTCACTGTGATCACAGTGATGGGAGGAGAGCCCATGTACGAAGTCCCACTGACTGACCCAACGAGCTCTGACCCAGAGAGACTTCAGCATCGCTATGACAACAGTGCCTTCGAGGGAGACTCGGAGGCTGGAAGAAGATGAACAACAACAACGGAAACAGAGCAGCAACCTACCGGGACACAGTCAAATTCCCTGCTTGAAATGTCTTCTGGGATAAACTGAACCATCACTATGGAATCAAACACCAATTTTCCTACAGCAGAAACAATGTTCATCTTCTAATGCAGGTTTAATATATTTTCAAAAGAAATTCGCAAGGATTTAAAATGGTAATGGACCTCGTGTAATTAGTTTGGCGCTGCATTCTCTTGGGGTCTGTCTTGGTGTTTCACAAAGTGACCTTGAGATAGTTAGAATTGATTCTCGAAAACTAAGCAGTTGTGGAGTGATACCGGTGTCAAATGACTGCTTTGCATAGTAAACAAACCAGCTCCTCACTGACCAGGGAGGAAGTGCAGTTGAGGATTTGAATATCCTATTTACATCAGAGCCAAATAACAAAACACTTGTTGGCTCACATTGCTTACACTCCCTCACAATTGACCAGTGTCTTTTAAATTCCCAGCATGATTTATTTCATTTTATTCAAATAATTTGAATTATGTTCTATTCTATTTTAAATTGCAGTATGTTTTCATTTTTTTTCATTTTCAATGTTGGAATGTCAGGCTGGATTTAAAACACACTCATATGAACACACCCATAACAGGAAATACAGTATGACACACATTGCACTGCGATGAGTCAAAAACATCACCTGATGACTGTCCTTTAGTTTCTTGGCCTCTAGCTACTTTTTTGTTAATGTTGCAATGCAGTAAAGGTCTAACAACTTAAGATGATATTACTACAAAAAATGACTGTCGGATAGGGGCAATTGTGTTATGGGTTTTGAAATTATGTAGGTTGAAATGTATATATCAATCATGTCAACTTCTATCTGTTAGTATACATGTAGGTTTATACATAATTTATGTAGAGGCATTTTCTTCTGAAAACAGCTGATTCGAATGTGCAAGCACACATGGTTGTTCTTGAAGAGGTCTTCCATGTTTTTCCTTTGAAATATCTGGAATGTTGTTTATTCATGTCCTCTGGTCTACCTCTGAACTACCACATGTGTACATTATGGAACACGTCTTTTAGATTCTTGCAATTCCATGATTAAGTGTGTCCATCTGTCAATTATAAAGCAAAAGGATTGTTTAATTTTTGTGTTTACTCATGGGGATATGCTGGTTGCTGGCACGTGATATATTTTTCTATATTGAATCATTATTACTACTGTTTGAGAGATTCCAGGAGTCTTAAATTGTTCTGTAAAAATGAATAGTTCTTGCTGTATTAAATCACATTGATGCTTATAAGAATACAATAAATCCCTCAAAATGAGGCCCACTTCATGAGCATATGTGCTTGTTAGAATGGTGTTTCTTCAGCCTGTGTGAAAGCGGAATATGTTGAGTGTGAAAGAATGTGAATGTGCAGGTTTGTTTCACTACACACTAGTACACAGGTCTATGTGTAGTTAAGTAGTGTCTCACTTTAGGAGTTATGCTCTTGTTCCCCATGACTCTGAGAGACGAGTAATTACTTCTGCACAGGTGGGAGCCGATCTGCACACACCTTAAGCTCGAGCTGGATAATCATCATATCACATAAGTAGAAGGGCATGACCGAGCAAGCAGAGATATGCAGCTGGATGGCAATCGAATGGAAATATTATTTTTCATTATCCTTCCATTGTGTCTTAGAAGTACACCCACAGTAACGACTGTAATGAAATTTGAAAGACTTCTTTCGAATTTGTGTGAGGCTGTTAGTCACTAAGTACTTTGGGCATGTGTGTTTATAATGACCTGCCTGTGATGTCTGTCATGTGTGATTGTTCAGCATAGATAATGTCTAAACTGTGGACATGAGTTAACCATTTCAACAAAAGAGTCATTTTTAGGACTGATCCATTTTAAAGAGGGCTGAAGAGTTCGTAGTATCCAATATTGTCAAGACCAAGGTCCATTTGTGTAACTTTCTGGTGGATTCTTAGGCCTGACCTGCACTAGATATTCCTGTCACACTACTAACTTATTTCACACAAACTATTTACTTATTCAGAATGAAGTGTTATATTTTAGATTTTCAATATGAACTCAAAAGGTGCCTTGCCTTCAGTTTTTCTTAGGTCATAGGCCTCTATGGCCTGATAATTATTTTCCTTTTTACATCCGGTCAAGTCTCAAAATATTTACAAGGTACCCTAGGACTGAAAATGTATCACTGCTTTGTGAGAGAACGTTTTAAAACAGGTACAGAAACAGGGCATGCAGTGAAGGCAGAATATGTTATTCAAAGCATTAGGGATGCCACTTGGAATGTAGGCTCCTTGAGTTATTATTCAAATATTTTACCTAGCCCAAGTAAAATAACACATTTTTAAATGACTAGTAGTTTTCACGAAATGTACTTTTTTGTTAAAGTAACAAGATGAAATGTAACAATAATTTCACCCCAGAATTCATGATATATTCTGCAGATAAAGACGCCAGTGAACCGTTACTTTGAGATATTGCATACATTTATTCATAGTTTATTTTAATTTGTATTGTTTTAGGCTATTTATTTTTCATTTTATACGTCTGTGACAATCGTGGCTTTGGAAAAACATTTCAATAGACTATAAACCTAACAAAATAGATTAGTTAAGACAGTGGCTCTGAATGTATTTTGTGTTAAGTAAAAAAGAACCCCTTGATCAACAATAGTTTTGGCTTCCATCTAAAGAGACTTTGGTTGTTTAATATGATTTAGATTAGACTTACACAGTTGTCAACTACAGTTCAATGGATAACCGCTGAGGAAGTGAACCCTATGATCAGAGAAGTCGCTCTCGTGACTCTTATTCACATTTGACTCACTTCTATAATGACTTAAACTGTAAATAATAAGCAATTCCGCATTTTTAAGAGGACCTCCTTAAACACACCCCCTGCTCTATAACCACTGATGTAGATTTTCAGAGCGTGAGCTGGGTCTGGGTGTTCCCTCTCCCCTCTGAGTGCAATATGCACTGGATTTCAGGCCAGTGCTGTGAGCTCAGCATTCATAGGTCAGATGGTTATAGTGGTATCACTTCGAGACAGAGAATCAATACTGAACTAACTGGCCAGGCTGGAAGACCTGGAGAGCCCTAGGTTAGAGGCACGCTCTGCTCAGCGGTGGTGCTCCTCTTGATTTATTGCAGTTGTTAAGGAGAGAATTGAGTCAGAAGGTTTTCATTTAATGGCATACAAGTCTGTGGACGTACTCTAATACTGCACTTGACCTTCAGTTACTGATAGGAATCAAAGAGTGGAATTAACTACTGTAGTGGCAGGAGCTTATCTGCTCCTACCTTCTAATCACAGTAAATATCTTGTGTTTTCTGAGGTGACGTATAATCACGGAGGCTTGGGACTGAATAAAGAATATAAGAAGTGGGGCTATGTTTGTGGTTAAATAAACATGAGGAAGGCGCTTTATCTTCAGGCTTTAGGCACATGTTCCTTGCTGTGTGTCAGTCTGTCCCGGCAAATGTTTTATCATAGCTCTGCATCTCCACCTGGTGGAGGAAGTCCCTATTCGCATGGATTTAAATTCAGTCCCAGCAAGCAAAGGTAAAAGTTGTCACAAGCCAGTCCCATGATCATTTCATGGTTTCAGGTGCTGAGCAATTTCTTGCTTGAGTGGACAGTACAGAGTAATAAACCCAACCATAGTGAAACAGAGTACTTCACTGATTGTATACTTAAATGGCTAAGTTATATAAGCTATCTATACAGTGGCGACTGGTCATTAGGGGCAGGTGGGGCACAGCCCCACCTAGTGTCAGCAGAAAGTATTAAAAGTAATGATTACAAAAAAATGCAAAAAATAAATTAAAAAATATATAAAATATATTTTATGATCATGTTTAATCATCTGATTCGTCTGTACATTGCTGTTTTAGTCTGTGTTCTTCTAATTAGTGTCTACAGTGTGTGCCTATTGAGCTGTTTAGAGCCATGTGGGACAAAACCCGATCCTGCCCCTCCCTCTCCCTGTTTAAGTCAATGGTGACTGTAAAAACTACACTGCGCATGCTCAGAGTATTGTCCTATTTAATGTGTGTGGCAAAAAAAGAATGACCATAGGGGCATAGAGCTGCCATCCCCACCATACGTCATCTCACATCATTCAGAGCTGATTGGCTGTAAGTACGTGTGCCGCGAAAAGTGTGGTGTGTGAAGAGGAGGGAGAGAGAGCTGCAGTGAGGCGTCCTACAACCCGGAAATAAACTGCGCATGGCTTCCCTCCACAAAAAAGCAATGATATTTCTCCATAGGATTTTAGAAAATAGCTCCAAATAAGATCTGTGGGAAACAAACCTGTTAGATAAATGCACGTTTTGTTCAGCCGGATAATATCCACATGTCTACCCTACTTTTATAATTTTCGAATCATAAATCTATTGATTAGATCAGATTTATGATAGACTTTTGAAACTACAAGAACATAAGGAGGACTTTTACAAAAAAGTAATAGAGATTTTTGTCCAGAAGGATAGGCAAATGGACTTCATCTTCATGTCAAGGTAAGACTGCAATTTGATTGAAAATGGGATCTTACTAAGAGAGAACAATTCAATATTTAAATGATAAAATTAAATTGTTTGGGTATCCTTTTGTTGAACTGTCTGTTTAAAATTAATTGAAGCATCAGACAAAAAAAGCTTTTGAAAATAATATTATATTTTGATTTAGGTCAAAATATAATATTTGTAAACCTGAAGAGTCAGAGCCTCACCAGCCATGAACCTCAGAAGCTTATATATAGACATCTAAGTTTTGTGTGCCCCACCACTTTTGTACATATAAAAACGCCACTGTATCTATAGTAAGTGTATATATGTGCATTATGTACATGTGTGTCTGTCTGTCTGTCTGTCTGTCTGTCTGTCCTTCAGCAGAGTGAAAACAAGTATTTGTAATTAGATTACAGTAGTTGGTTTTGTCTCAGACTCTGTTGTCCCAGACTTTCGAGGTAATCATCTTAATGAATGGAGTGAAAACTTGATTACTAAAGTGCAATAAGAAGCAAATACATCCCTTAAATCAGTAAGTATAACTGCTTGCAGAGATATAAATAACCAGCGTGCGAAATACGGGGGGGTCCGGGGGAGCTCGACCCCCCTGACAAATGTTGCCTCAACAGCAACATTTGAGGTGGGTCTCGAATTATAATATGTATTTGTCACTTGCAATCGTCACTAACATGTTTTTAAGCTTATGTCCAGTATTCATAATTCAAAACATTAATTCACAAATATCTTCTATTTTCGCTGGCAAAAGCATTTCCTCGCATAGAATCGAAAACAGACGGCTCTTTAACGGTCGCGTATTAATTCATTCATATGAACGTCAGAATATAGAATTATTTGACGGAAGGACGGTGCCCCGGTTGAGAAACGCTGCTATAGACTTCGACCGGTATATTGAGCAATAAACGGGAGATGGGGACCCCCCCGATTATTGACGGGTATTTCGCACACTGTAAATAACCCCCCTTCTCCACATTCTTGAAGTTTCAATGGCTCAGTGATGGGATGCAAATATTGAGTATACCAGTCACAACTCCTTTTCCTCCCAGCAGGGTTTAAGTCTTTGGGCGGCATTATCTAATCAGATAAGTCTACTTCACATTTTCTGCATAATAATACCACAGCAGCAGTATTTCAGGTCTGTCCACGGTAGAGTCTTAGCTTCTGTATGATGTCGTCAACCCTTCCTTCCTCTTGTTGTCCCGGTGGCAGATCAGATAGGGCTGAGTGTACCGGACAAAACAACTCTCATCCTGTGTCGCTGTCGATACTGCCCTGCACTGTCCTGTCCTTTTAACATGTTTGCTGCCAGCAAAGGGGTCAGGCAAGCCGGCATGTTAGGTTAAAGGAAAAGAGAGGATGTCCTTAGAAGAAGCACCTCTTCCTCTCTGAATCAATGGCGGGGGAAGGAAGCGATGTCACTAAAATAGATAATAAAACGAATTGGCATTTGCAGGCCTATTTATTTTTAAATGAATGATAATAATAGATCTAACCTCTATTTTCTTCCCTTCCTGCTGTGCGATGGGGGGCACATTTGGTATTCTCTCCTGGCAGCACAGATTTAAATCATTCCCAACATTTGTGCATGCAATTACTTCAGTCATAACCCAATCTATTCATCATCTAATACTCAAACACACATACACACACTTCAGAAGACAGGGAGAGAGCCAGAGAAAGATAAAACGAGCTGCTCTATGTGCCTCAAGAGAACCCCACCTTTGAAGCAGAAAAGGTCTGAGAAACATGTCTGCATCACAATCAGCCTCTGTCTCAGCCGCCACAGTGATGTC